ACAGTGATGACCATGATAATAGCGCTATCGAGGTAATATGTTCATAGACTTGAAAAAAAAATGGCGCAGTACGTTTAATCTAGAACTGAGTATTAAAGCACAAATCTAAGCGTCCTGTCAAAGAACTTATTGGAGTTATCCTGTACTTGAAACGATCTATCTATCGAGCAAATGCCACATACACTACTATAATTTCTGGAAGAAAATCGATAAAACTCCACTCATAGCTTTCAAACTGAAATAAAATTGCATATTGCATGCAAGATACTATCCAGATTGACTAGATTTGAATGACTGTATTCTTCTGATCAATTTCATTTTCCTGTTCATTCTGTAGTTAATTAACTAATCCATCAATGTATTCTAATTGCTTACATCAGGTTACTGTATGCTAATGGCGAGTGTTAAACTACAGAAGAACAACAGTAGATTAAGTTATGTTCATGTAGATCCTTTCCTTATGCACGTATATATTTTTTTTTTCATAAACAGGCATTACTGGCACTGATTGAAACTATTGTAGAGGTATACTGTATTCGTATCTACAGCATTTTTACTTAGGTTGATCATGACTTGATGATTATTTAACATAACTTGTGCAAACCCGCAGCTACGGCAAGCAAGTTCACCCATCTCTATTCAAAGTTGCTTAAGCGATGTTAGGTACTGTTAATAAAATTATAGATTGATTGTACAGTAAGTAATCAATTGAAACGGCTCAGTAATAAATTTAAATTTACGCCTATTATATGAGGCAATAGTTCACATTGGAAGTTCAACTATACCACTACAGTATATCCTATAAATTTAAATTTACACCTGTTATGAGGCAATATTTTAGATTGGAAGTTCAACTATACCACTACTGTATATCCTGTTGAAATTAACATCCAATAACATGGTGGAGCTAGTCGTTATAAACAACGTACCGTAGAATATTACCGCTTTTTATAATTATCAGCTTATTCAGTATAAGCAAATAAATTATTACATTATGCAGATTGGACCTAACTTTCGTATAATCGTTTGAGATTAAAACTTAACAAGTTTTAGATATTGCCACATTGCTCTTAGAATTAGTACACTATTTAATTTCCATTTTCAATTTTCTTTTTCCGAGCTAGAGGTCCGTTGAAAGATCTCACCAGCTATTTAGAAAAACATGAATTCCAGTAAGAGTGTAAAATTCTTTCTATTTGGAGTTTTATAGTCAGACATTATCGATTCAGATATATTTCATTTAAACATTACATAAAATTAATTTATCGACTCATATTATTATTGATATTGCATACAGTATACTTTATGTATTCTAAATGCAGTACTTTTGCAGATACTGGAGCAAGATAATATCATTACTATTGTTTCAATTTATAATCTCTTGTGACTTTTAGTCGGCATCGGCCTAAAGTTGAAGAAATTTATAGCTCGTGCAGGTAATATCTTGATTCAATGCAAACTCCAACCCATTATATCAGCCAAAAATGTTAATATGCGTTCTGCTCTCTTTATGAAACTGTACTTCCATCCTTAGTACTTTGCTGATAAACCTCTTACTTGATATGCTCGACAAGCACGATCTGTAAGTGTTTACATATACTGCATTGCTATAGCAGAAAAGAGACCGATGTTATACTCTACTTGCACTGTAGATGGGAAGTACAAATTGAAATATTGAACGTTTTATCCATACGTCCACACTATATGAATCCCTTGGATTATGTGTTGGAAAACCGAGCGTTTGAGCACATACCAGGCCTAGCTGGTATGAATTTTGCCTATTTGTTTCTACCTGTTTTCACTAACGATCTCTCTTTAACTATCAATTTTGCTACTATTGAATAGATCCGAAAACGTGTCATGAACTTCGCCTATTTATGAAGTTTATAACCTCTCCTTATGAGGATCTTGCTATTAAAGCCATGGATATTATAACCTACTATGCTAGCTCCTGTAATACTTTATTCGGAGATTATGTGTATACATACTACCTAGCTCTTGTGTATCTGAATTACTCGTATTAACTTATCATAAACACGCTGAAACGAAGGTAATATTTATTTAACAATAACATACCATTAGATCCGCTAGTAGTTTTAGAAGGTGGGCTAATTCAAGAGCTGGCAAGGTCTATATCCTTAAATAGAACTGTAAGTTGGAGTTTTACTTGTCATCTAGCTGTGTCTTGCTCTTCTATCCTCAGCATATACAATTTTCTAGTAGTGGTACTATTATGATAAGCATAGAAATTGACTGACCTACCTACTAAAAAATATTTGTTATTATACTTTTCCTCATAGATAGCCTTTCTTGATCATGCAGCAATAGCTTTGCGCGATTGCATTGATTACTATTGTATACTGTATCCAGTTGAGAATTATGAGATAAAGAAGAATACTATCTTGGATGTACGTCTATCACCATAATTATACATACATTATTAACTGTACTGTTATGAACATTCTCATTTTTCAGGAGTACTGATAAAGAATTTTTGCTTGTATAATTGATAGCTAATGAAATGTGTGAATACTTTGATGCGATCGGATAAAATTGAGGTTGGCCAAAAAGTTTAAAAAGAGCAAACTATAACACTGAATGTCGATTACTTACTACTTTCTTTGTAATATTCTATATTCCAATACAAAGTCAGATATTTCTAATCATTCCTTAAGCTTGCATTTTCGGTACTAAATTTTTAGATTCTAAACTCAACCTTTGATGCTCTATATGAAATGTCCCAAACATTTCCGGATGAAGCAATATTAGAACTAGAAGATACAGCTGTTGAGGTACTGTACTGTACCTAAACTGACCTATTAATACTCGTATATAGCTCGAATTAACAACTAGATTACTATGAATAGAATGTAATAAAGATCATACATTATGATTACGGATCTGCGAAATCAAATTCGTTTAAGATGTTACAAGAACGTATTTTATATCAAATGTTGTATAGGGACAGCAATACCTCGTACCATGTAATCGTACTCTTGAAATCTTCATAAGCGACAGTTCAATTCTAAATGTATCTACACCTTAAAACTTATCGTTGTGTGTATTAAATTACGTAGTAGACACTTTAGTAACAAAATCGTAAAGACATTACTACTTAGAAATAAGCTATGTATCGTGTTGAAATCTATCTTAAGACTGAGATACAAGAAACCCTATACGGCCTCTTTCAACTCATTGGCGACGATTATCTATCGAAGGTATTTCCAAGTTTATTACAGAGTCTCAAGTCGTCTTTCACCAGGCTACAATACATCGATTGAGTAAACAATTATTTATTATTCTTCACTGTATGCTATGATTATCAAATACAAAATTGTAGATTATTGGAATCTTAAGTATAAGACCTTACGTTATGGAGGTGTTGGACCTTTTACTTTCCGTAGATGATCGTTGTTTACCAATAGTAAGATATTATGATTTACGCAGTTAAATGCGTGTAGTGTGTACAAGTATTCGTTTTAGTAGATTTGGTCAATTAATTTGGGTATTTTGTGATAATGTGACATAATACTCTTTAGAAAGTATTAAGAGCTGTAATCGAAGAAATTCGTAGTCGACCCAAGCTAATTAAGGTTTTGAAAAATAATTATATATTAAGTGTATTTATATTTACGTATCTCATCTATTTTTATTATTTATTTACCATGGCTTGAATAAAGCAACTGATAGATGGAGATGTATTAGAAGTTTTACTAATGAAATATGCATCCGTTAGTAGTATATAAATAAAACATTTCACTAATTCCTACGCT